TTTTTTTTTGTGGAACGAAATTCAAACTTTGTTTAAATATGCCAAACAATTGGCAGCACTGTTGCTTGTTCCTTGAAATTGTTGTTGCATTTGCTTGTTTGTTTACATTTTGTGCTGAACAGCTGATTGTTTTTTGGTGGGATTGATTAAACAACCTACCAATCAATCTTGGTTGTTTGCTAATAATTAGGTTCTTTCCCTAGCTATCCGGACCGGATCCGGAAATTTAGAGAATATTGCTCTGAAAAATGCAACAAATTCCAGAAGTACGGGAATGCAAAAAACCACATTTCGTGCTCAGAGTTTGAGAAACAGCTGACTCACGTTGTTGTTGTTTTTGTCACTTAAATTCAAACACTTGGAAATTGAATTTTGGTTTCACAAATTCAATTTTAAGTGTATAACAATCGAAAATACATCAACAGGCCATTCACTATTCCTTAAAAGCGCCAAGTAAATGCAGGCAACATGTGAACACAAAACAGCTGATATGCACTTTGACACTTCATACATTTTTACCCGGAGAAAAAGTCCGGGCTGTTTCGTGCAGAAAGAAGAAGACACTTACGATCCAATACGTTCCAATTTTTGCTCTCTATTACACATTTTGTTGAGTACGGGAATGATTTCTGGTCTGTTTTGGGGCACCCGCGTAATCCCGCGTTGCGTACGGGAAAGAACCTATTGCGTTCGCGTACCCGTTAATTGTTCAAAGTTAACCAAAACTTTCAGGTTTTTGTGTTCGCGTACGCAAAAAGCTTGCAAAGTAGGGGAAATTGAGAGAGCATAGTGACATTTCATTTTGAGGGGAAGCTGCTGGTTTCTGCTGGAAAAATTTTTGCCAACAGCAATTTGCCAAGAGGAAAACAGCTGGTTTGAATTTACGCAAATCACAAAATTGAATTTGATGGTTTGGATGTTAAAAATGATAAAATGCGACTAATAGAACTTGTAAGAAGTAAGTAGTTATTTGTTTAATCAATAAACTGTGTCAGGATACCACTTTGTGATGAGTTTTCGTACGTTTTAAATTTTATACTTTTGAATGTAAACAAAAATTATATCAGCTGTTCGTCAACTTGCAAGTTTCTGCAAATTTTATGTTCGCGTACTGTTTTGGATATTTTTCTCTTGTGAGAGAACTGGTGATATTTCTCCGGAATTTTGCTGTTGGTTGGTTTTTTTTGGAGATTTTAAATGAACGCACCTTGTTTTGGATATTTTTCTCTTGTGACATTTCGCCGGAATTTCGCTGTTGGATGTTTTTTTACTGGCGATTTTAAACGAACGCACCTAAAATATTAGGTGCCATTTAAGTGCCGTTTAAATATATGCTCTGTAAATTAATTGTTAAAGTTAATCAACAATCTCTACTTAATTAGGCCATCTGAAATTGGGCCTAACTCTTTGAAATTTAATTCTCTTCGATTTTATTTGCAATTAAAATTTTTATAAATGTAAGCAAAATATTCTAGGGAACTCTACTATGCATTACCGGCAATGCCTAAAACAGGCGACAAGACATCATAAGGCAATGCGTTCTAGAACACGTTACCACTAAAAGCGATTACCGATTTTTTGCTGGGTATATATATAAATATACATATAGGTATACAGGGTGTCCTCGACCACCCGTCCACCCCTCTAAAATGCAAGGTTTTCAATAAGAAAAAAAAACATTTCCCACCATTTTAGAGGTCTAGGACAACCTGTATATGTATGTATACATGTACTGGCCGGCATCGTATGCGCGATATCGTAGATATTAAATAAGATGCGATTGACAAATAAACAGGTTGAAACCATACTAAAAAATAATATATAATTGCGCATCTAGAGGCCAAGCCCTTTCATTTGACACCTCATTTCTTGTAATCTAACGAACAGCCCACATTTTTTAATTTTTCGCACAGGTTGCAACCCTCTTCGAAAAATAAAACCTTGTAACGTAGCTTTGCCTACGCCACAATAACATATTCAACATCACCCTAGCACACGTCTTACAACTGCACATAGGTACCAATATAGGAACATACATACATACATACTGGTAGGCGTACACACAAACTAACATACCAACAAGACTAAAAACACCCCTATGTACATACATACAGGCGTACATACGCATATGCGAAGCTGGCATGATAAGCACATGCAGATATAACAAACAGCAACTTGGATACTCATGCGCACCAACAGATGGAAGAAGTTCACTGCGCAAAAGCCATAACACAAAATAAGCCCATTCACTTCTCAAACGGTTCATACAAAACCAGAGCTAAAGCTGCCAGCATGAACTCAACCAGCATCAGTTGTCCGTAGGTAAGCACGGAGCGCAGCCTGGGCTTCGCGCCTATTTGGGGCGCTCTTGGCTTTCCTCCTCGGAGGAAGACTGATTGGTTGAGGGGGGCTGCAAGGGTCGGAATACCCCTCAGGCAACACCCCTAAACCATTATGGGCTNCGGAATACCCCTCAGGCAACACCCCTAAACCATTATGGGCTAGACCCATTTTTGGTTACGGTCTCAATCAGACAGGGGCGAGATCCGTTTGGGCTTGCCCAATTCCGAACACCCCTGCCTGCT